CCGCCAATTAAGACCCAGACCCGTAAGGAAGCTTCTGCATTCTTGAAGATGGAAGTATTATAAAATTAGCTCAAAGAAAACTTAAAGGAATACTAACAACTGGCATACAAAGATGTAGTGTCTTACTTGAACAACTAAACTTAGCAGGATTGTGTCTTACTTGAACAACTAGATTACATAAAACTATAATCTTCCACTAATGAAACAAGACATACATAAATTCGTTAAACTGGTATACAATCAATTCGGTCACTAATTACATTCATAAGAAAGGTATGGAAATTGATAGAAACTTACAAAATAGAAGAGATGACAAGTGATTTAGAATAGAAGAAATTGATGGATGTTTCTGGTCAATCCAGTCGGCTTCGATCGCTAATCGTCATATTTGCGGTTAAAAGAGTCCGATTGTGATTAGACGGACGGAGGAAGATGATGGACATCGCCACGCGATGAAATCGGCTATGGAGTGAGAGGGTAAAAGATAGGAGGCATATGAAGGACGGTGCCCTGTGAGACAAGCGCAAAAGTGAGATTTTTGAGGTGGATGTCTTTAGGGTTTTCTGTAAGCTAGGCGGGATATATTTCATTCTGGCACTAATGTTTTCATTCTGGAGTTTGGAAGGTAAAATCTTTCTTCTAAGAGCCCGTTTACTTGGTGAATGTTTTGCTAAAATTTAAAAAAAATACTACTCGTAGTATTGTTTTTGGACTTTTGGCTTAAAAAATTGAAATAAGTGTTTTCAAATCACAGCTTTGGCTGGAATAAACTATTTAAAAGCTAAAAGCTGGAAGCGGGTGGAAGGTGCTGTAAAGTTCTTTTCATTTTTTCTATTATACAAAAAACACTTATTTTATCAAACACTGCTAACTTTTATTTTTTCAGAAAGCATTTTTTCTAACACTGCCAATTTTTACTAGTAAGTACTTTCTCCAAAATCACTTTAAAAATCACATTTTTTTAAGTAGAAGCAATCACAAACACTCCATAACTTTTTCAGCTCAGTCTCAATTCAGTCCAATTATTTCATAAAATAGATATAATTTGCAATTTGATTTTGTGCACTCAATTACTACAATAAGTAAATTAAGAAAAACTTCGATTTAAGAAAAATAAGTAAATTTCGATTTATTTTTTTGCTTGAATCGGCTGGAGTTACTGTAGAATACTTTTTAGCAATTTTTTGAACAATTTTTCTTTATTTTTTAATATAATTTTAAATATAATTCAACAAATTCAGCACATTCAGTCACTTCAATCAAAACTTCATTAATCTCAAAAGATTTAGCTGATTCCATCAATTTCAGTGTTATCAAAGAGACTCTAAAATTTATCCTCCGTAGAAAGGATACACTTAACCAAATTACAACCGATCGGATCAAACTGGCCACCTAATTAGAAAATTTCGGTCAAATTAAAATATCCTAATTCCGTTTTATTAAACAAAAATCAAATTGTGTTACAATAATCTTTAGACTTGTGTTTCATTTTTTAAATTCCCAAAATTGTAATTACTTTTTCATGTTACGATATTCCAATATCTTTTAAAAACTAATTGAAACACACCCTGTTTTAATACGACCAACATTCAAATATAAAAACACAAAAAACGTATTGCGATGATCTCATTTATAACTAAAACTCAAAATGAATATTTTTAAGTAATTAAGCCTCATTTTGTTCATAAATTATCTAAAAGTAAATAATTTTTGGAATGTATTATCTGAAAAATAGTACGTTTTTTTTTAAAGACTGAAAAATACTACGTATTACGTTAGTGGTAGATAAAAGTAAATTATTGATAAAAACATCTTTTAGAAGTTGAGAGAAGTTAATTGACAAGATGTATTCCGCGTACAATTAAGTCAATTGATCAATTTTTTAAGGCAACCATAAATACATTGCTTCAAATAGTATGTTTAAGAGGCAACCATAAATACATTGCTTCAAATACTAAGGTTTAGAGGCAACCATAAATACATTGCTTCAAATAATAAGTTTTAGAGGCAAGCTAAATATGACTGCCTCAATTTATATACATTTAGAGGCAGCCATTATTAACTGACGCTAAAGAGGACTTTTAGAGGCAAGAATACTTAAATTGCCCCAACAACTTGCCTCTATAAAAGAATTTTCTTGTAGTGACCAGAACGTCCGCCGTACCGGAGTTCCGAAGTAGCCGTTGCTGCGGGTTACTGTTCATCGACGGACACTTAAACCCATATGTTTTCTTTTTCACTCGTTTAATCTGAAATTCAAGCATACTCTGAGGATCGCCTCTCCCTTGCGGTCATTTTGATATCTATTTGAGCTACTACAACGAAGGAAATCAAATTGAAGCTATTGTTCATGGGCCAGTACATTTATGCGGTCTTGGAAACTGCTTCTGAACTAGTGTAGTGCATTATCTTCTGAGTGTGTGTACTGTCTTAGTTTTGGTTACTTTGCAGTTTATACTTGTTTTTTGCCCGAGTGAAAGTGTGTAGTTGGAGAATTCCTGAGCATTTTGTGTCTATCCGGGTACTTGGTGCGTCTGTCTTAACTAATTATGCAGGTTGGTTAGTGAAAATTTTCATCCTCTTTCATTATGACGAGGAAGAATAAACAGCAACGAACCCCTCCTGCAAAAGACAAGCTATTTGATGAAAAAATTAAGTACCTAAATGAAAAAAAGGCTGCCAACCTGAAGCTACAGACACAAAAAATGATCAAAAAAGGGGTGTTCCAGGAGGTTTTACCAACTGATGCACCAGTTTTCTCTGCAAATTCTACAGAACTTATTGCCTCTAGTGCTGAGCCATGCATTGAGGGTTTGGAACTTCATGCTTCTGCAACCGAAGTAGTGAGTGTTGAGGCCAATGATATGGCCGGGGGTCTTTATGCAAATGCTACTGAATCTCCTAAAGAGGGGGGGCCTGGAGTGCTTGATAACTCATTGCTCCTGACTGATTCTAGTGATGGGCCTCTAGCTACTGCCGAGTGCATTGCTAAGGAGGTGGCTTCATCTCCAAAAACCATGCCCACACTTGAAACTGCTGTCCAGATTCTTCCAACTACACCTGCGGCTCTTGCAACCAAAAGTGCAGCTTCCCAGGACTCTGGGGGGGATGCTTCGTATGCTGAGGCTCTGTTGCGGATGGGTTCAGCATCTTCTTCTGCAAAGGAACAACCAGAATTATCACTTGCTCTCAAACCTCCCAATTTTGGGAAGTTACCTATTGTTGAAACTCCAGAAGCAACTGCAGGACAACCAGAACTCTCTTCTGTCAATAAACCAGGTAACATTGTGGATGAATCAATCATTGAGGCCTCGGCTGAAACTAATGGAGATGTCAGTGATGTACCCGAGGGGTCTATCTCACTGGGATCCCATGATATAGTCCCTTTTATGATTGTTGCTACAAAAGCTTGGGAGGAGAAGAATAATAATGGAAAAAAGCAATGGAGTGCCCTTTTTAGAGATAACCGTGCACCTAGCAATGGACTCAAATTGGAGTACTTCCCTCCTACCGGGGAGACACTTGACTTCTCCCATCTTAAGGTACCTACATTGATTGAAATTTGGGGCTACTGTCTGGTTGGTTATTTTACTGGAAGGTTCCCGGGCTTGAAAGCAATTCATGAGATGACTGCCAAGTGGAAGGTTGATGTTCAAGTTAAATCCCACAGCAAGGGATGGGTGATTTTTAAACTAAAGAGTGAAGAGGACAGAATGCAAGTACTGGCTGAGGGACCGTATGTCCTCTTTGGAAAGACTATGTACCTCAAAGAGCTTTCTGATGATTTCTCAACTGACAGTGAAGAATTCCTTAAACAACCAATTTGGGTTAAATTCCCCAAACTATCCATGAGGCTATGGAAATCAAAAGAGATCGGTATGATAGCGTCACAAGTGGGAATTCCAATCACAACGGATAAAGTCACTCAAGATACAGTCTGCCCCCACTTTGCGCGTGTGCTCATTGAAGTTGATGTCTCTAAACCCCCTGTTTTGCAATTCCCAATTATTCCACCCTCGGGTAAGGAATATATGCAACAGGTGGTTTATGAGACCTATCCGGAGTACTGTTTTCATTGCAAAAAATTTGGGCACCATCCTTTCTCTTGCATTGTACTCAACCCTCCAAAGGAAGTGAATAAGGTGGTTCCTACGGCTCAAACTAAAGGGAAAGGGGCTGCAGTTCCTTCTACTGATCTGATTGATACCATTGAACCTCCCTTTGTGGTGGTTGACCGAAATAAAAGAAAGGGGATCTATGTTCGTAAGGCTCCAAGTGTACTGGATGGGGCTCTGCCTTCTAAACCTGCTGGACCGAGAGATCCTCAACTGGGCAGAACTAATGCAAATGATGGTGCGTCTACCTCCAATGCTGCTGGTCCGAGGGCTCAAGTGAAGGCTACTCACCAAAGTGCCAGACCTGCTGCCAGGTTAATTGCCAAAGAAACCCAACCGGATGGTCCACAGCCTGCTGCCACGCCATTAGCCAGACCTGCTGCACCTAAACCGAAGGGTCACCAGCCTGCTGCCACACCAATGGATGAACCTGCTGCACCTACTGCCTCCGAGATCAATGGTGAAAGTGACTGGGAAAGCCGCCGGGTTGTTAGTATGCATGAATTGGAACAAGATGATATTGTCAACAAATTTATTACTAGAGAAGATGGAGCTCACATTGCATTTGTCAAAAAGAGACATCAAATTAAGAGCTTTATTCCGGTAACTAGGCTTGGGCGAAATTTTCAGAGGCAGGACGACCCGAATATCCCGGCCATTTCTTTCACGGATCCATGCTTAGTGGCCCTTCCCGGAGTGAAGAGAACCAAATCATGGTATTATTTTAATAAAGAAATTTTTTACCTTAATGTTGGTTGTTTCTTTGATCCACAGGCCAAACTCAATGTTGATTTTTGGAACTCCAAAAAATTATCAACCATTGATGAATCCACCACCCCTCCCACGGCTTATGTTGAAACCAGAGGTGATCAAGCAATTAATGAGGGCAAAGGATACTTGGTGACCAACATGTATGAGATGGGTTATGACGATGTTATTACTACATTTGATGTGAATGAGAATGGCAGAACCATTGCCTATGCATGGGAGACTGACCAAGTACCGAAAGGTGTCAATATTGTCAAGTTGGGACCTAAGTTGGAAGAACTAAATGGTGATGATACTGGAATTAACTTCACTGAAGAGTTTTTACTTAGCTGCCCGGAGGTCAAGAAAGATGGTGAATGGTATGAATTCGATAAACCTACTTTTATTAAGCGTGTTTTATCATTCTTTGATCCTAACCTGCACAGAAACAAGAAGTACTTGAAAGAGATGAGGAGAAGAGCTAGAAAAGAACAAAAGGACAAAAAAGGGATAGACCCGGATGACATGGCGTTTACCCCAGACTTCTATTTATCTTGACAGCCCACTGGTTTGAGTCTTTTTGGGGTACCTTCTTCACGCCTTTTTATTTTAAATGGTTAAAATTCTTGTTTGGAATGTCCGAGGTTTGAATAAAACCTCAAAACATAATTTAATTGCTAGTTATATTGTTGCAAATAATGTGAGTTTGTGTTGTTTTCTTGAAACAAAAATGACCACGGCTAATTTTAATAACTATGTTTTAAATAAATGGCCGGGGTGGGTGTGTGAAACTAATTTTAATAAAATAAATGGTGGCCGTATGGCGTTGATGTGGAACCCGAATGTTTTAAATTGTGTTTTTAATGCGGTGGAGACACAATACATGCACCTTAAATGTGTGTGTCGTATCTCCCAAATCAGTTTTTTAGCTACCTTGGTGTATCCGTTATATACCGCTTTGGAGCGTAAGGCATTATGGGAAGAACTTGCTATCCTAGGGGATGGTTTTACCGAACCTTGGGTTATAGCTGGGGACTTTAATTGCGTGTGTGCTCCAAATGAAAGGGTGGGGAGTACCCCACCTACGGCATATATGATGAAACACTTGTTTGGTTTTAAAGTTCAAGCTAGCCTAGAGGATGCACCTTCTACGGGTGAATTCTACACGTGGAATAGAGGTGCACTTTGGGCAAAGCTTGACCGTGTGTTGGTGAATGATATTTGGAGTCAAAATGGCTTAAATGTTACGACCCATTTCCATGAAATGGAGGTTGAGTTTGATCATACGGCCTCCGTAATATCAATACTTAATAATTCCTCTTTAAGGCCTTCTTTAACATGTGGATTAAACATCCCGAGTTTGCTAATTTAGTAGCGCAGAGTTGGAGACATGACATTGATGGCACGGCACAATACTCGATGGTAAGGAATCTTAAGTTGCTCAAAAGGCCACTTAAAGAACTAAATACCAAAGAGTATGGCCACATTTCAAATAAGGTGAAGAGAGCTAAAGAAGATTATAAGAGATTACACAAACTTGCTCTCCAGAATCCGTTGGACGAGGATAACCGGAGCCAGTTGATGGAAGCTAGGAAAAGAGCAAAGTTCCTTACTGAGGCTGAAACTAGTTTCTACCAACAAAAGGCGAAGGCAATCCACATTCTTGAAGCGGACAAAGGGACAAAGTACTTCCATGCGATTATGAGGAAGAAGACTACGAAGAATACCATTTCTTCTATCACGCTCGAGGATGGTAGCCTCACTACCTCTCTAGAACAAGTTGGAAATGAATTTGTAAATTTTTTTGTTGATTTGTTTGGTACCTATTCCGAGTGCCAACCCTTAGACCATGCGGTCTTGGGAACCGGTCCTATGATTGAGCCAAGTGCTCATGATAGCCTACTTGCTCCGATTGACACGATAGAGATTAAGAATGCTCTATTTGCCATCGGCAATGACAAGGCACCAGGACCGGATGGATACTCATCTGCATTTTTTAAGGCAAATTGGAACTTTATTGGGGATGATATAGTTCGGGCCATCAAAGAGTTTTTTCGTTCAGGAAAGCTCCTTAAGCAAATAAATCATACGGTTATTGCGCTTATCCCAAAAACGAATCACTCACCGAAGGTGTCGGACTATAGACCTATATCTTGTACGAATGTGATGTATAAAATTATTACAAAAATCCTTGCGGCTAGAATATCTCAATGCCTTCCCGGCTTGATTGATTTAGCCCAAGGTGCTTTTGTTGATGGCCGCCTCATGTTTGATATCATTTTTCTTGCCCAAGAACTTGTTAGAGGATACACGAGGAAGCGTATCTCACCTAGATGCATGATCAAGGTAGATTTGCGTAAGGCATATGACACGATCTCTTGGGAATTTCTTAATGAGGTCTTAAGGGGTTTGGGCTTCCCCGCTAGATTTATTGGGTGGAATATGGAGTGTGTAACCACGGCTTCATTTTCCATATCTTTGAATGGATGTTTGTATGGTCATTTTGAGGGCAAGAGAGGCATCCGACAAGGAGATCCGATGTCTCCGTTGTTATTTGTCATTTGCTTAGAATATTTTTCCCGATTAATTAATTTGAAAACAAAAGTGTCAAATTTTAATTTTCACCCACAATGTGCAAAACTTGGATTGACTCACTTGGCCTATGCAGATGACTTAATACTCTTCTCTCGGGGTGACACATATTCAATTGAAATACTTGTCAAGGCCCTTGAAGAGTTTGGGGATGCTTCGGGCCTTAAGGTGAATCATGATAAATCAAACATTTTTGTAGGGGGAGTTAATGAAAATGATCTCCAGGAGATCATGGCCCTTGTGGACTTTGGACGTGGCACATTCCCGGTTAAATACCTCGGAATCCCACTTGCCCCTCTTAAGGTTTCTGTGGCGCAATACTCACCGTTGCTTGACACAATCTCGAATTTTTTAAAAGCTTGGAACACGAAAACACTATCCTATGCCGGAAAACTCGAGTTGATAAGATCTGTGATCCAAGGGGTCCAATCTTTTTGGCTACAAGTTTTCCCGGCCCCCCAAACAATCCTTGATAGGATCGTGTCTATTTGCCGAATTTTTCTATGGGGTGGGAAATATTCTAAAGTGGCTTGGGATGACATTTGTCTACCAAAAGAGGAGGGGGGCCTTGGCATTCATAATGCCAAGATTTGGAATCATGCTCTCCTCTCTCGAACACTTTGGGATGTCCATAGGAAGAAAGACACCCTTTGGGTAAGGTGGGTCAATGGAGTCTACCTCAAAGGTAGGAGCGTGTGGGATTTTATCCCACACAATCGTGATTCAATGTTCATGAAGAAATTGAGTCATATCCGGGACCACATTTTGCGATGTTTTAACAATTTGAATGATACCATTATGGGCCTAAATAGTAGATCCTTAAATGGTAAACTCTGTTCCGGAAAGATCTATGAGTTGTTGAGAATTAAGGGAATGCCGAGAGTGTGGATGAGCTTCATTTGGAAGTCTTATATCCCTCCGAAGTTCTCATTCAACGTTTGGCTTGCTATGAGGAACCGGCTACCTACACAGGATAGTCTTGGTTACTTACATATTGTTAATCGTTGTGACCTGTGCAAGGGTGGTTTGGAAACAATACCACACCTGTTTTTTCGTTGTTCTTACGCTTGTAGGGTTTGGGAAAGAGTAAAGGGATGGTTGGATATGACACGAGAAATGACCACGCTATTTAGCTCGGTCAAATGGATATTAAAAGATCACAAAGGATCAAAAATCAAGGGGAAAGCGGTCCGGATAGCATTTAGCGCCACAGTCTACTACCTATGGCACGCTAGGAATTCAAATCGTTTTGATGAGACAAACATAAGGGAAGAAGACGTCGTCGCAAAAATTAAGCATGTGGTGTATAAAATACTTTTCAATTTATACCCGCATGACTTGATTACATTTTGAGTAGAAGGCCGAGACATGGATATTATGGATGCCGCGGATTGGGTAGACTGCTACATCACTTTTGTGAAGCCGAGGTATGGTTTGTTGGATGCCGCAGCATGACGACATGAGACACTGCGGTATGGACATCTTGGATGCCGCGTCATGGAGCATGGTTTTGGATTAGGGTGTGTGCACTTTGCAACACCTTTGTACTTTGTGTTTTGATTTTATAGCCTCTGATCTGTGTGCGAATAAATGCTGCTCTGATGTATTTTTGAACTTCTTGATGGGCCGGGTATTATACCGGGTTTTTTGGCATAGAATAGATCGAATAAAAACCTTCTTTCACCCCGCATTATGTGGGGGTGGGGGAGGTTTTAGCAGATCTAGGATATGCGATGTATAGTTTTTCTGGGTGTTAATATATTTACATTTCATCCAAAAAAGGATTCAAAGAAACGAAGAGAATAGGCCGGGTCACAATAAGACACTAAAGTTGGTTTTCTGATTGAGTCTCCATGCCCTGAAATATTAACAAATATGATTTCTTCTCCTAAAATTTTAAATGACTTCATTATATCAGAATTGACCCCACCACCAACATTCATCTTAATCCCAACAACTATGTTGGAGTGAGTGACATTGAGGTTATGGTGTCAATTAAGTATCTAATAGTAATTAACAGTATATTCAAGCACATATATCAGCAACAGAAAAATTCTCACCTATATGTTCCAGGTAATTCATACTTGACATTAACCAAGTAGCAAGTTTATCTAAATGGAGTAACAAGTTTAGGATGCACAAAGTAAAGCCTATAACCAGAAGAATTCAACAACTAAAAACCAAAGAGAAAAACAACAAGCTCTTAAGTTCTTATTCACGGTCAAAGGCTGAAAGTGAAAAAATTAAGACTGAAATTAAAAACTAGCTTAAAACCTGAAACGATATAAACAAAAAACAAAGATGAAATTAGAACGAAACTTACCTGAATTGAAGTGTAGTATCGTATCTAGTAACAAAGTAAGCAGCAAAATGTAGACTACCAGGAAGTCGGTCAACTGTGTCACGCCGGTCGCCGGTGGAGGACTTGGCAGGCGAAGACGGTGGACGGTTGATGAGGATCAATTAAAAACTTGCAGAGTCGGACGATGGTGAAGAAGAACAAAGCAGACGTCGGTAAGCCTCAAAATCGGCATCGATTTCAAAATCCAATTGACGATTGGAGAAAACATTATACGGACTACGAGAGTGATGGTGCTACCTGTGAGAGAGACGATTAAGAAAATAGATCATCAAATATGGAAGATGGACTGAAGCAAACCTTTGGGGAGAGAAGACAGATGCGCAGAGCCAATCTTCGATTGCCTTGAGGGTTCAGCTTCTTTTTGAAAAATAAAATTAAAAATGAAAATTTGAAAGTTAAAAGTGAAAAATATTAAGTTGGTGGACATAAATCAAATGTTAAACGCAAAAGGAGTCTATCCGGGTAATTTGCACAATTTTTTAAGTTTAGGCCTTCCACCTTATTTTTCTCTCCTGCACAATGACGTTTCTCCCATTCCATTTGGCATTGCTGCTATCCACGGTAAATAATTTTAACCCAATCTTATTTTTGTGATTAATTATTTTTTTAGCATTAATTGAGAAAAAAAAGAAAAAGGGGAAAAATAATACTAGTAAGATGTGCGCCGCCCAAGCGCCGGCAATGCCGCTTGAAAGAACAGTAGAAAAGTAAAGAAGCAGGGCAAACTTGTCCATGTATCACTGCGCAGAGAAACGATTTGGGTGCGCCCAGAAGGCTCTTTGCCAGGATCATATTTTCCGTCGAAGGCGCTGGGATCACTCAACACAGACCAGACCTGGGTCAACACTCTTTCCGTGAAAGATCTCTCATCTCAGAGCCTGAGCTATTCCCAACAGGGAAAGATCACATTCCCTTTTCTCTTTCTTCAATCTGTAAAATTTTAAATCCTAAAAGTTCAAAGAGGCGAAGAGATCGCGCGAGCTGCCTCAGAGCTGAAAGAGATCTATCTCCTTCCCAGACATGAATGACCTTCTATCGGTACTTCTTCCAAGC